AAAACCTTATGACACTTAGATTTTATGATGTATGTGTTCCTATCCATGTGAATTTGTCAAAACGAAAGTTTGCGACAAATCCAAAACCATATGGACTGAACTTGTTCAATCTTGATTTCTTGCCTCATGGTAACATGAATGCCCACCATGTCTTCCAAGCAACTCACCCTTTCATATCAATGTACTTTCCATTGATCAAGGTGCTTTGTCTTTATGCATTCAAATGAGAACTCATAGAACTCACACGCATAATTAACTCAATTGGAATGACACAGAAAAAGAGTATGTCATCCACGATAGGCTTTAAACCTCAAGTCGTGTGCTAGTGATGATCAACTAGGTTTACTCTTGATTTGTTCTTGAAACTTTTCAAGACCATTAAGACTCCCACTGACTCCTTGACATATAAAAATTCTCTTGTCAAGAATCATTTCTTGACAAACAAATATTCAAGAGTTAGTGTAGCCTTTTGTCAAGTTTAACACTTCACACAATTGGTCCTGGTTGGTCTTTGTCTTATCCAAGACATCACAACTTACCAATTTCAAATGTGCAAGAATAAGAAAACTTTTCCAAATTCCACATTTATCGAGTGTTATAAACCTACTTAAGACTTGTCACTCATGTCAGAATCTTGACTCTAAGACTTGATATTGGAACGAAGTATGATTGACTTCTTGATTTAACCATTTCTACAATTCTCGATTCCTCTTCTTAGACATGCAACTGCACTAAGACTCACTTAGAGGATCAATTGAGATATGGTTCTTAATCATTAAGACTTATCATAAAACACAATAAAAGGTACTCTCCCTTCTTCTTAGAATAGAGAAACTTTTATCTTTCTGCCTACCTGATTCTTCTTATTCGTTCTGCTATTGATTGAAACTCTTTCAATCAACTCAGAATTATACTTAATCTTATAAGTATAATCATATTTACTAAACTTTAGTAAATCATGACGAATATCTTTATCACTCTTGTGGTGGACTTGATCAACGCACAACCTAGTGTACTCGATCTCCTGGTCCTTCTCTTGACACTTTGCCAAAAAAATTAGTCTAATTTCCAAAATATGAAGTTTCTCATTCATCACGCAACCAAGTTTTATGATTCTAAGTTTCTGTCCAATTGAAACTTGGGCGATGAGAATCTTCCTTTATTTGGCAAATCCTCGACATTTCACAAATTACATAATCAAGAATCTCATCCAATTCAACATTGCTAAAATTAGAAATACATAAACATCCATTTTCACATATGCCATTGCAAGGATAAATAAATAGGACGAAATCAAAATTCATTTTATTGCGGAAAAACTTGTCCTTACAATGCAATTCAAATGAAAACTATGCTATTTCAATTTCTAAGCAATCTATTCTAACTCTAAAGTAGTAGCTCAAAAATCCGATCTTCAAGCAATGCGATCGAAATCCATTTCTTCACGATCAGATTCAGCTTACTTCTTCCCTTAAGCTTCCTCTCTTTTCTTCGATCCTACAAAACATCAAAATGTAATCTTATCACATCATGTATTGAAAATCAAAGAATAGGAACTTATAGAGTTAGTTATTGGATTTTACCTGAAGTAGAGCCATACGTCTTGACTCTCCCATCTCTTAGATCTCTTAGGTAAAACAGGGCAGCTTCGTCTCCAATGCCCCTTCTCTTAGCAGTAGAAGCAGATGGAGTCTTTTGGAATGGCACAAGGAACTATCTCAGAATTTACCTTTTCTGGATTTCCAATGTCACCATTTTCAATGTCCATTGAAGTTTGGGAGTTTGATTTGCCAGCCAAATTTGCTTGATCAGCACGCCAAATCATTTCTGATTCAACAGCTATAAGCAAATAGGTCAAATCAATGAGGGTCACGTCATGGTCCATCATATAGTACTCTCTAACGAACTCACTATATGATTCAGGAAGTAACTGAAGAACCCAATCAACAGCCAACATTTCTGAGATATCGACACCCATCATCCTTAACCTATCAATGTGTGACTTCATCTCTAAGATGTGTGTACACACAGGTTTCCCATCTTCGTGTTTACTTGCCAATAGGGCTTGAGTGAGCTTGAACTTTTCAAGCCTTTAGGGAGAATAATTGGAGGAGGTGGAGGAAGTGAAGCATGACTCTCATTTCCTTGATCATATCGTGGAACGTCATCTTCATTTGGAAAGCTTGTTCCAAGGGACTTGGGAAGACCATTGTAAGATTTAGACATCTTCAAAACGGGAGAAAATTCAAGTTAGTTGATAAGAATCCTTGATGTAACACCCAAATGAAACATCAAGGCTAGGATCCAACACAATACTCTACAACCTAGAAGAGGGATGCCGTAATCTAGTTGCAGAATATTTGAAGGTAGGTAAATGACGATTTACCAATTGCACCATGAAAAACAAAAAGACTTTTAAGTTTTAAATGAATTGAAACTCCTAGATCTTTTGAGATTCATTGAACTTTTCAATGGCATGTTTAATCTCGATTATGCCCTTCAAGTTTGCGACTGGGATGCCGAGGATCACAAACAAGGTGTGAATAACCATACGAATCACGTGGTGCACCCAATTGCTACTATCACCTAATCAATGTGTCGGTTAGCCACACACGCTCCATTGATCTATGATAAACATCGAGCCACCCTTCGCCACCAATGTCAATCCCAAATTAGTGTGTCGGTTAGCCACACACGCTCCACTAACGTTTGACAATGGTACGAAGTGTAATTCCATGGATTAGCATACAAATTCACATTTTGCCCTAAGGTAACTAAGATTGAGAATTTGTAAAAGCATTTAGTTACTTTGTACTTCATTATACTTATAATGGAAGGTTTCGTCCTATCCTACCCGTTCGGCTAACGACCCTCCACTAGTCAAGAGTGCGGTGGGTAAGAGTGGATACCCATTCAATCTCCATTTTATAGGCAATTTCCTTAAACACCCCTTATAGACCAGCTTCGTGAATGAGGCCTACTAACGGTAAGACTGACTCTTTACTCATATATATAATATTAGACTTTTAATGTTACATATATATAGTATGGGGTGTATTTTACACTTTTAAAATACTAGGTGGTTTTATTAACTTTCTCTTTTAATTAAACTTTAATTAACTTAACAAAACCATGAGGGTGTAATTTAAACTTTTCAAAATACTAGAGTTTTAGAATTTAAATATTACATAATTAAACTATTAATCGAAATTTTAAATTCCAAAACTTGAGGGCAAGTCTTGAAACATTTCAAAACATTAGATTTTAGAATTTAAATATTTCAACATTAAACTTTTAATCAAAATTTTAAATTCCAAAACTTGAGGGCAAGTTCTGAAACTTTTCAAAACATTAGGGTTTAACTATTTAAATTTCAAAAACAAAACTTTTAAGTTCAAATTTAAACTATAAAACCTAAAGGGAGTAATTTGAAACTATTTAAACTTACTAGGGATCAAATAACAAATAATATAAATCAAACAATTAATTTAGTGATTATCTATATTTGACCTAATCCAATTTTAGTCACAAGATAATTACCAAATAATTTGAATAATCTATATTTATCATATAAAGAAACTATTATTCAAAAGATTTGAAATTATCTTTTGTTTTGGTAAGGATAATCATTTACATACAATAAAATTCGGATTTTATTATCAAAAAACGATTTTGGCATCAATCCTACAACAAAACAACAAGTAAATCCCGAAATATACTCTGTCAGACTCCCGGACTCGCCGAGTCAGTCCTAAACTCGCCGAGTAGGGCCAACTCGCCAAGTCCAGATACTGACTCGCCGAGTTGAGTCGGGCAGAGGCAAAAAAAAAAATTGATTTTCAGCAGAAAAACGACAATTGCATCACATACAACAGAAACCAACCTGGCTCTGATACCATTGATGGGTTTTAAGCATAAGAACAATCCTATGTGCTCATACAAACCCTAATGCTTGGATCTAGGTTTCTCTATTGTACATGCAATGAATCCAAGACTTACAAACCCTAGATCTATCAAATAAGAACTGAAATAAGGGTTTAGTAATTACCTTTGATTGTTATATAGCAATAACAATCAATCCTTGCTTTGATTGGCTTCAGAAAGCTTAGTGCCTCAAGTGTTGCACCTCTAATGGAGTCACAAACACCACTAAGCAACTTGGATGAAGAGGGAGGAGAGTGGATGCACCAAAAACGGCTGGAAACCCTAGAGGAACACTTGTCCACGTTTTTGGGGCATAGGGGTCCTATATATACATGTAGGCTATTAGGGTTTACAACTAGGAAACCCTAATCTGAGTGCTTAAGCCCTAAGCAGTCCAATGGACCATTCCAGAAGGCCCTTGGACGATTTCTTTATGGTCCTCCATATAGAATTTGTCCATTGCCATCTAATGGATCCTAAGCCCAACTTTGTAACTATCTTATAATTACAATATCAGTCCCCTTAATTTAATTAATCTCTTTTAGTCACAAAATTAATTCTTAATTAATTCTTGACTAATATTAATTAAACTATATGATTTCTCCTTTAATATATTATTCTTATAATATATTAATAAATCATAATTAAACCTTTCTCTCTCCTTAATTCATCCTACATATTGCTATGGTGAAGGCAACCCAAAAGGACCAACTCATAATCGGGTCAAGTACATACCAAAATAGTTATGGACTTAGACACTAATCCAACATTTACTACATAAGGTAAAATAAAGATTACTCATTCTAACTTTTTGCAATCTTCGGCAAAATGGATGTGGGCAAGAATGGTTGACCACCTGTAGAAAGAAACTGATCAAATTGCACCAATGAAAAGCCAAGGGCAAAAGGGTCTTTAAATTAAATAGCAGGAAACAAAGCAACAATAGCAACGACCAAGGATTAAGGAAGACACCCAAGGTTAAAAATATCTTTAAACCAACTAACCAAGCAATGATCTTGATACTCCAGGTCTCCACCCACAACAAAAATATGCTTTCAGAATGCGAATAAGTAACATCAGGCGTACTCAAAATCAACTTCAATCATAAAAACAGGTTCGTAACCTATAAGTTTCCTTAATCTGTATGGGACGTGAATCACAACAGCCTTTTTGTTTCCAACATCAATTTGACTGGAAAAGAAGCATCAAACAGAGATTAATATGTGATATGATGAAGGAGAAATGGGAGAGGATTTATATAGGATTAATGGGTTTGATATTCATACTTTGCAGAGTTGATGTACAAATCCTTCAAGTCACTCTTGAGCTCTTGGTGGGTGTTTTCAAAGTCGAACAATGCCTGTGTTGAGATTAATTAAAGAAATCAATGAAGAGAATGACATTAATGGGGGATTACCTGAGCAACACTCTGTTCAAACTCAGTGGGTTCAGCATCCTTGTTGTCCTTTTGACAGATCGATGTGCAGATTGTTCTCGTGAATCAAAGATTTCACTCTGCCCTGGTTTCATCCCATTTGACAGATCTGTTGTGAACTCAACAATCGAGTCCAAAGCTGTCACCACCTGCACCACTCATGATATTAGGGTTAGGGTTAAGGTTTCCAAATTTTAATTTTTAGGGCTTGACTAGTTAATCACTATTCATAATATATTCCTAAAATAATACCAGAATTAAGTATGGATGTGATGATTATCTGACTCATTCGTGGCCTTTTTGGTGCTAAATGGCGTATACAGGCTACAACTGCTCCAATCATCCGGAACATTTCAACCTACACATAGTTTTTTTCCAGGCTGAGACCCGTCCACAAGTTTACGCCCTGTGATTAGTTCTAACAGCACAACCCCTACAATCATGGCGGCGACTTTTGGGACCAATTCCAAAAACTCAAGAGCAATTCCAATGAAAATGTTTCAGAGCACCAATTTGGCGTAAAGTTTTCATCTTAAGATCCTCTTTCAATCACGATGGTGGAAGAATTGATCACAAAATCACAAGACACTATGCTGCCATCAATAGACCGATGTGCAGAATTCAAAAGATCACAGATTGCAAGATTACATGTCCTTTCTGTGGGCTTGAACTGTGTCGTTGGCTTCCATCCAAGTCGCATCATCGGAAGTGGATCATTGGGCGTTTTATTGGGGAACTAGTGAGTGATATGCGCAACAGATTACAGAGGCTTGGGGGATTGCGAATCGGTTGTATCTCGTCGGACCGATCGTTGAACAGCCTGAGGTTGGGCGTCATTAGGCTTCTGTCGACCGGAGGGATGAGACGCGAAGAAGAGCCACCGAGCCAAAACACCCCTTTAATTCGTCAGTGTGGTTTTAAAAAGGGATGAAAAAACCTACGTAGCTAAGTCAATGCTTACCATAATTATAGGCTATTATTTGTGGAAACTAATTATCAAATTACCTTTTTATCCTTATTTATTTATTTAATTATTTATTTTTATTTTAAATTTTGATTGGCCCACATTTATGCATACAATAAGACAATACTTACTTTAAACAAATGAACCTAGCTCTCTCTCTCTCTCTCTCTCTCTCTCTCTCTATATATATATATATATATATATATATATATATATATATATATACACACACACACACACGGTGCGGTTTGTTTTTTTTGCGGTTTTTGCGAGACTAGAAACCGCACCGCACCGAGTATTTTCGGTTTTTGCAAAACTAAAAACCGCACCATCGGTTTTTATTTCGGTTTCGGTTTATGCGGTTTTTTCGGTTTTTTTGGTTTGCAGTTCGGTTTTTGCTCACCCCTAAGTAATACAAACATAAAATGGTTTTATTGTAAGTTTGAAAAAATAATCATTTGGTTTTGTTGCAAAAAGATCATAATTTATAACTATTTATGTATAGATTGTAATCATTAAAGATTTTTAATGAACATTGTAGATAAAACAAATAGAGTTTTGTTAAACTTTTAATTTTGAATCAAACACTTTAATAATTTCATTTTCATCACTCTTAGATTTACTAAAATGTGGTTCTTATGATTATAAGGATATTTCTGAGTTAAATATTAAAGTTTTAAAAACGTTTCATTTTATTATGTTTTTCAGTTTCATTTTATTATGTTTTTCAGAACGACATTTGTATTAAGAAAGAGTAGCAAACAATTAGACCAAAACAAAGCAATGATATTTTAGAAAAAATATCATAAATGGTCCTTGTGGTTTCCCTAAATCTGAGGTTTAATCCTCATGGTTTAGAAACGTTATAGTTGGTCCTTGTGCTTTCAAAACTTTTGACGATTGGTCCTTATTGTTAACTCCGTTAAGTTTTGTCCGTTAACTGAAGGGCATTTTCGTCATTTCACTACCACAAGGACTATTTATGATGTTTTTTTTTAAAGTTAAATATAATTATTTAATTTAATATATAAAAGGTCTCTCTCTCATACTCATTTTGAACGAACCACTATAAACTAGAACAATCTTTATGCTAATCTAACACACATAAACACCACATAAATCAAAACTCAAGCAAAAGTTAAAGCTTGCACTCCATCTCGTCTTGTTTCTGCTAGAGCTGATGATGATTTTGAAGCTTACATTCCAAATAAATTGAAGCTTACATCAGAATACCCAGTTCAATGGCTTACACCCAAAATTCTTTGTTCTTCACGACTTTTTTACACTAATCAACACACATGATCGATTCAGAGTGAAAAAATGAGAAACTGACCCAAATCCTTTAGCATAAAGATCTTCACGCACACCTGGATGATTGATCGAGTGAGTAACGATTTTACTGTAACTGGTATCGTAGTCGTTTCAAAACATGGAGGAAAGTTGAAATCATAATCAAAGAAGAAGGTATGGGGATTTTTAATAAGGGAATGGTGTTTTGGGTCTTTTTTATGGGGATTTTCAGTGGGTTCAAGAACCCTAGTTTCTTATTCTTCCTCTATATGTTATATCAAAGATCATAGATTTGTAGAGGGTTTAATTTTGAGAGAGTGTGTATGTTCATATGTTTGATTTTCTACAGGAAGAAGGAAGAAGATGGGTATGTTCGTATGTTCGTATGGGATGAAAGAGAGAGGGGTAGGTGGGTGGTGAGGATGGATTTCATATTCAGTGAGAAGTGCTGGATTTCAAGGTTCGATGATGATGATCCTCGCGGAGGTTCAACAACCATCAGTCGTGGGAAAGAAACAACCATTGGAAAAATTAAATGTGGTTGGGGATGAGATGGAGAGCACGGGAAAGGTTAAATAGGGAGGAAATGATAATCGGTGGTGGTTATGGTGTTGCCAGAAAAAAATGGAGGTGTAGGGATTCTTTTCCACAAATCTGATTTAGGGTTGCTGATAGGAATGGATGTCGGTGGATCTGTGGGTTTTGATCGGGGTATGGGCAGGAAATCACTTACCTTGGTCGGTGGCATCCGATGGTGGTGGTGGCGGAAGGTGGTGATGGCAGCTTCTGGTTGTAATAGAGATGGGGTTCAAAGTTTTTGGAGGTAAGGGAGGAAGACAGAGGTGTGTCTTTACTGTTTACGAGAGAGAGAGAGAGAGAGAGAGAGAAAGAGAGAGAGAGAGAGAGAGAGAGAGAGAGACCTTTTATATATTAAATTAAATAATTATATTTAATTTAAAAAATAATAATAATAAGAGAAAACATCATAAATGGTCCCTGTGGTAGTGAAATGACGAAAATGCCCTTTAGTTAACAGACAAAACTTAACAGAGTTAGCAATAATGACCAATCGTCAAAAGTTTTGAAAGCACAGGGACCAACTATAACGTTTATAAATCACGGGGACTAAACTTCATATTTGGGAAAACCACAGGGACCATTTATGATGTTTTTTCGATATTTTATTTATTTAGTTAACTTATTATTTTTTGACTAATTATTTATATCATTTTAATCTTAAATTTGTAATGAACATATGATATTTTTATCATATAAACGTAATAACTGATATTTTTTATTTAAAAAAAAAAGCTCCCTAATATATTGTTGTAACATCATATATGGTGATACATGGTTTTTATTTAATATTATTGTGAAGTGTTGTAATTTTATATGCATATTATATATGCTTAAAATTAACAAATTATATGGGTCTTCATACAATATTTAACAAAGATGGCAAAGATGAGTTGAATAGTTAGACTGCGTTTGGCGCGCCACAGCTAGCTGAAAAGCTAGTTTATTTTTCGAGTTTTTTTTGGATTTTCGTGTTTGGTAAGCCAAAAAATTAGCTTTTAAAGCTACCTTTTAAAAAGTTACTTGAAGTAGCTTTGGAGGAGCTTTTTTACAAACTTCCCAAATATACCCTTAATTAATTATAGATTACTTATTTTGAAAAATACCATTTTATGTAATTTTATATCTTTCAGCTAGCTTATCAGCTGGTTTTACCAAACACTTTTTTTTATCATCTAGTTTACAGCTAGCAGCTACCTTTTTAACCATCAGCTAGTGCACCAAACATAGTCTTAATTTCGAATTAGAAGTTATAGATGATTTGAGATGATTTAAATTAATAATATATATTTTTTAATAAAATTAGTGGGATGCGATAAAACAAAAGAACTTATGCATTAGAGCATTGCAATTAGGGGTGTGCGCGGTGCGTTTTGGTGCGATTTAGAGTCAAAACCGCACCGCATGTGCGGTTTGGGATTTTTAGAAACCGCAAACCGCACCGTTAAGGTTCTAAACCGCATTATGTGATGCGGTGCGGTTTGGTTTGGTGCGGGCGGTTTTGGTGCGGTTTAGTGAATAACAAATAACAAATAAGTTATTGTGTATTCAAGTTTTATACGCATTAGTACGTAACTACGATTTAAATGATTTTTTATCATATAACAAATAACGAGTTGTATATAGCTGTGGTAAACGATTGTTTTAATATCCCTAACATCGTTATTAATTTAATATATATTAGTGCTACTTTTCCCACCAATTTTAATATCCTATTGTGAAATGAAAGTTATGTGTCGGCTAAATCCAAAATAGAGTTTGCACCCAGATAGATATATTTTTCCATGATAAATTTAATTTTATTCTTTTAAAGATATTGATTTAATATAATCAATATAGTTTGATACCTAATTTGTCAAGTATCTTTATAAATAGACAAAAATGCGTTAGAATTTGTTATAACTTAAACAATGGTTGTATACTGTCCCATTTTTTAGCGACCAATTTGCTATTTTGCACTTGTTAGAATTTGTTGTACATAATAAATTAATAATGTTTTTTATAATTAATAATAATAGACATGTATCTTAACTTATATATAATGCGTTGCGGTATGGTTTGAACCGCGTTTGCGTAAACATAAACCACAAACCGCACCACATATTGCGGTTTACAAAAACTACAAACCACGAACCGCACCGCGAACATTGAAAACCGCATTATGCGGTGCGGTGTGGGCGGTTTATGCGGTTTGTGCGGTTTTATGCACACCCCTAATTGCAATGTATGTTTTTTATACTTATATTTGTTTGACCCTTTATTACCATGCCATTTGAAGACATAAATTCTTTGCTTTTTGTTATTGAACAGTGAATATATATGATGAATATACTTTTAAATTTTGTACATCTAAACATTTCTCATTTAATTATATTTTATTTTACTCATTTTATATTTATCTTTTTATTAAATAATTATTTATCCCATATATTAAATGACATTTCACTTTTAAAGTATAAATTTAATGACAAATATATAGCATTTTCAATGTTTCTTTTATTTATATAACTATAGCCTAGTTTTTTCTTAGTTTTACATATATAAATAAAATCCTGTATAACTATATTTACATTTTCGTATTAATATGTAATTTGTGTTTAAAATCGACTAATT